CTCCCACGCTAGTCCAGCAACAGTACGTAGGGCGGGATCAACCTAAAACACTTCGTCTCGATATAAGGCGGCAGCAGACTATGAAAAAAGAAGCACTAATTATATATTATGAACAGAATCTGAAAAAAAGTTTACCTTTGGGTCAGAGACAGCTAACGCTCTTCCTATTTGTTGTATGGCCGCAAGAACATTTCCAGACATAAGATGGACGAGTGCAACAGGAACAGAACAATCAACATTCGACCATTTCGTTTTCGTTTGACTATCAGAGTGCAGAGCAAGGAAATGGCGGGATACAGCCTCAAAAGTGCGCAATGTAATTAACACAAATATAGATTTCTTGGAAACGTAATCAACCAATTTGAAGATTTGGTCTTGAAAGCTTGGCTTACCTGAATGGTGGCCAGATCGCACCCTCTCAAACTTGACATCAGCTGCTTTTGATCAAAAGATGAAGCAACATTGTCTAAACCAGAACCAGTCGATATCACTGGATATAGTACGGTAAGATAAATTTGAAGACATAAAAGTGAGTGTTTAGATGGTTTAAAAACGCAAGTTATGGAGCATGTATTAACAAGATTACGTCTTCCCTCCTCCCCGGCTCCACACTTTACCTCATCTCTTCTCTTCCCCTGTCCTTCCAAAGTGAAAGTTGAGACAAGTTCGATAGTCATCAGAAGGGAAAAGAGGCTGAGAGAGAATGTGCAAAAGGCATTGCGTATTTTTGAAGAAGATGAAGAATCCCAATACCCTAATTTTTTTGAAGTAAAAAACTAACCTTTTTGTTGGTTACTAGTAAATACAAAGAGAAGACAAAAAAGATTTCCTTCAGTTAGATTACCTTGATCATGAAAACTCAATTCTACTTGAGGAATCAAAGTAGGTTTTGTGATGTATGATGAGTCGTCTGGCAAAGATACACAACGTTTCACTGATCCATCCTAAATGGAAACAATGCTTATATTGCTGGGTGCAATTATAAGGTAGAAGAAATAAGATAGATTGCGGTAATAATGGAACTATGACCAACGCAGTAAAACGACAAACGGACGAAAAACAAACGGAAAAGTATACCTTTGGTGGTTGATAAAAATATTTTCTGGTAAGTGAGGTCGTCTTATCCGACGGAACACCACACTGAGCGAAGTCATTGCGGCCCCATCCAAACGTGCGACCATCTTTGGCGACACCAATCGTATGATTTCCTCCTGTTCAAAAATTTGTTATTCGCTTATACTCTCATTATACTATTTTATA